TAGTTGGTTTAGTTCATTAATGCCATTTAATAGAATTACAATGTAGGCAGAATTTGCTGTATCTAACTTACCTTTCTTACTTATCTCCCACCTTTTTAGTTCATCCTCTCTTCCTGTGCCCAGCCCCTACTCAGTCCTGTGCCCCTTCTGTCACCCTGTCTATGATCCAAAGCTTTTGTAACCTCATGCCCCATCAGCCTATTCCCTCCCTAACCAGTACCTCCACCATTTGCAGTTTTAGAGATGACATTTTTTTACCTACATAAGAACAGGACTGGCTACCAGAGAAGAAGGCTGTCCTAATCATACTTCTCCATTTTAGACTCATCTTTTTATATTTTGTTAGAGGTTTTTTTTTATTAGAAAAGTATTGTATTCTGATTGTACTAAGTCACACTATTTAGAGGTGAATATGAGACAGGTTAATTACCTCGTGTTCTTCTTCAGCCCCAACTTTCTGAGGGTAACCAACATTAACAGCTTGATATCCTAACACATCCTCCTGGACACACACACACACGCGCACACACACGCAGACACACAGAGTTGGGGATTTTTTTTCACTTGGAATTTTAGTTATGTCATAGGGATTTTTTTTTATTTTTAAGAAAGAAATTTGATCTAACAGTACATATTATCTGCTTTTTCACTTATCACATATGCTCCTACAGGTTGAGTGCATCCAGAGAGAAACGTATAGAGTAGTGATGAAGAGCGTGGGCTTTGGAGCCAAACTGTCTTTGAATGTGAATCCCGACTCTTTCCCTTATTAGCTATGTAACCTTGGGCAGGTTTCGTAAACTCCAGCCTCCTCAGTTCCCTTCTCTGTCAAATGGTCATCATAGTTGTAGAGGTTTCTGTGAGGGTTATAGGTAAGGTATATTTAAAGTATATAGAACAGTGCCTGACTTCTAGTAAGGACTCTGTTAGCTATTGTTATAATCTCACATTCTTTTCAAAAGCTGAAAATACCCAGCAGTCTGGTTGTGCCTCCCCTCTTGGTGAGTGTTCACACTGTCTCCATTTACCCCACTATAAACAATGTTGCAGTAAGCTTCCTTGTACACTAGCTTGTTTGTAATGGACTTTTTATTTCTGTATGAGAGTGTCCCGGAAGTGGCATTACTGTGTCAAGGGGTGATTTTCATAAATATAGCACAGTTATTTTCTGTGGTATAGTGGGGAATATATATTTGGTCTTTGTCCCCTGCTCTGGCACACAGTTCCTAAAACCCTTGGAATCTCCAGAGTGATAAGAATGACTAGCATACACTGCATACAAAAGAAATTTTTGAATGTTGGAGTGCCTGGGTGGCTCAGATGGTTAAGCATCTGCCTTCAGCTCAGGTCATGATCCCAGGGTCCTGGGATCAGGCCCCACATCAGGCTCCTGGCTCAGCGGGGAGCTGCTTCTCCCTCTCCCTCTGCCTCTCCCTCTGCTCATGCTCTCTCTCTCTCTCTCTGTATCTCTGTGTCTCAAATGAATAAATAGAATCTTTAAAAAACAATTTTTTTTGAATGCTAATGGAGATGACTGAGGGCTGAAGGCTCCTAGAGGGCTTCAGGATGGGGGCTTAGAATTTTCAGCCTTACCCCAAACCTCAGAGAGGGGAGGAGGGCTAGAGACTGAGTTAATCACCAGTAGCCAATGACTTAATTAATCATGACTGCATAAAGAAACTTTCTTAAAAACCCCTAAACTATGGGGTGCCTGGATGGTTCAGTCAGTTAAGTGTCTGACTTTGGCTTAGGTCATGATCTCAGGGTCCTGGGATTGAGCCCTGCATCAGCCTCCCTGCTGAGCGGGGAGTCTGCTTCTCCCTGTGCCCCTCCCCCCGACTTGTGCACAAGCATGCACGCTCTCAAATAAATAAAATCTTAAAAAAAAAAAAAATCTAAACTTTTGAGCTTTTGTTGGTGAATGAAAGAGGTGCTAGGAGGGTGGTGTGCTCAGAGAAGGCATGGCAGCTCCCCGCCCCTCCCCATACCTTGCCCTGTGCATTTGGCTGTTGCTGAGTTGTATCCTTTATAATAGACCATTAACAGTAAATAAATCATATTCCTGAGTTCTTGGGGCTGATGGACATTGTAGCAAATTATGAAACCTGAAGAGGGGGTTTAGGGTACCCCTGATTTATAGCTCATTGGTCAGAAGTATGAGAGGCCTGGTATTTGAAGTGGGGGGGCATGCTTGTGGGACTAGAGCCCTTAACCTGTGGGTCTGCCCTAATTCTGGTAATAAGTGTCAGAATGGAATCAAATTATTGGTGTCTGGAGAATCAGGGAATAGGTTTTTGGTTTTGGAAAACACCCTAGACTTTTCCAAAAAGAGTATCACCATTTATAGTCCTAGAAGCATAGCTTGGGAAGGCCTGTTATAGATACTATTGAGATAAACTACAGGAAAAAGTGAATACTTTTTAACTCTTTATTAAAGTGAGTTTTTGAATCTATACAAATAAAGAAGGTAAAAAAAACAAACCCCTATGTACCCATCACACTGCCCCAAATCCCAGACCGTGGTCAGTGCCCTCTCCATACCCGACCTACTCTCACTTCCACCTCCTGTGTCACATTGAAAATCCTAGACATCATACCATTTTCTTGTATATTCGTGTTTCAATATGTATCTCCAAATGGTAGGTTTTTAAAAATTGTGGTAAGGACACTAAAAACAGGGACACCTGGATGGCTCAGTCGGTTAAGCATCTGCCTTCGGTTGAGGTCATGATCTCAGGGTCCTGGGATCGAGCCCCGCATCGGGCTCTCCGCTCTGCGGTGAGTTGGCTTCTCCCTCTCCCTTTGTCAAGATCTCTCTCAAATAAATAAAATCTTTTTTTTTTTTTTAAACAAGAACACTGAAACAAGTTCCACAGGATTTTTTTTTTTTTTTTTTTTTTTTAAGTAGGCTCCACACTCAGTGTGGGGCTTGAACTCACAACCTGAGATTAAGAGTAGTGTGCTCTACTGACTGAGCCAGCCAGGGGCCCTGACTTCCACAGATTTTTAAGTGCCTAATACAGTATTGTTAACTACTGGTACAGTATTGTACAGCAGATCTCTAGAGCCTATTCCTGTGTAACTGAAACTTTCTACTCCCCATTTCTCCCTCCACCTGGCAGCCACCATTCTGCTCTCTGCTTCCATGAGTTTGGCTATTGTAGATACCTCACATAAATAGAATCATGCAGTATTTGTTCTTCTGCGACTGGTTTATTTCATTTAGCACGATCTCCTCCTGGTTCATCTGTGTTGTAGCATAAGACAGGATTTCCTTCTTTGTTTTAAGGCTGAATAATATATTCCACTATATTTATATACCACATTTTCTTTATCCATTCATGCATTGATGGACATTTAGGTGGTTTTCACACCTTGGGTAATGTGAATAATGCTTCAGTGGACATGGGAGTGCAGGTATCTCTTCAAAATCCTGATTTTAGTTCTTTTGGATAAATACCCACAGGTAGGATTGCTGGGTTATACGGTAGTTCTATAAGCGATAGGCTCTTACCACTATAATCACACCAAGGAAAAAAACCCCTAAACAAAACATGTATTACTATTACATTTCTTTTTAATGCTGAACAGTACTCCATTGTATGGTTGTACCACATTTTATTTATGTATTCATCAGTTAGTGGTCATTTGGCTACTAGGTATAAAACTGCTGTGAATATTCATGACAAGTTTTGTGTGAACCTGTTTTCATTTCTCTTGGGTATATACCTAGGAGTGGAATTGCTGGATCATTTAGTAATGCTGTCCTTAGCCTTTCGGGAACTGCCAAACAGTTTGCAAGGTGGCTGCACCATTTTCTATTCCCATCAGCAATGTATGAGGGTCACATATTTATATTTTTTTTCTTGTTAGGCTTCCTTCTGTGGTCATATCGAAGAAACCCATTTGCCTAATCAAATGGGTTCTAAGAGTTGTATGTTTTTAGCTCTTACATTTAGGCCTCTGATACTTTTTAATTTTTGTGATGGTGTGAGATAGGGATCCAACTTCATTCTTTTCTTTGAGAATGTCCAGTTGTCCCAGCATTATTTATCAAAAATATGATTCATTGAATTGTCTTGTCACCCTTGAAAGCCATTTGACCCTAACTGTAAAGGTTTATATCTGGACTTTGAATTCTGTTGATTATGTCTCTTCTTATGCCAGTACCACACAGTCTTGGTTACTGTAGTTTTCGGTAGTAAGTTTCGAAGTTTATTTTCCAATTTTTTTTTTAAGATTTTATTTATTTATTTGACGGAGAGAGACACAGCGAGAGAGGGAACACAAGCAGGGGGAGTGGGAGAGGGAGAAGCAGGCTTCCCGCCGAGCAGGGAGCCTAATGTGGGACTCGATCCCAGGATCCCAGGATCACGACCTGAGCCAAAGGCAGATGCTTAACGACTGACCACCCAGGCGCCCCAGGAACGACCTTTAAGATAGGAAAAAGAGGCAGAGGGAGAAGCAGGCTTCCACGGGATCATGACCTGAGCCAAAGGCAGATGCTTAACCGACAGCCATCCAGGCATCCCTTAAATACTATTCTTAAGATTTCTCAGAGTAATGGGGCTCCTATCCTCTTGAGCCCCCTTTCTTGATAGACAGGATTCCTGTATGGTCTGGGGAAGGAACCCAGGCTTCTTGTATAATTATTAATCCCATTAGTGGATTTTGCTGTTTAAGTGACCTTTATGCAGCCAGGAGGAGGGACTTCTGCTTGTATGGTCCCATCCCCCAGCTGTCCTTAGGTAGGTTGCTTCTGGTTACACTGTTTCAGATTACTTGTGTTTCCCCGAACTCTGGTAACTTTGATGCTTTGACTGCACATATCTTCTCAGTCAGCAAGTATTTTTCTGTCAGTTAGAATGTATGGTCCTGGAAGATGGGAAAGCATCGCTTTTTTTTATCTATTAGTGCTCAACAGCATCATTCCTGGCTGACGGACAGACTGCCTGAGGAGTGCTGCTGATGCTTCTGGGACTTGTGTTTATTCCCTCCAGGGGAGCCAGGAAGTGGGACGGAAAGTGATACTTCTCCTGACTTCCACAATCAGGAGAATGAGCCCAGCCAGGAGGACCCTGAGGACCTGGATGGATCTGTGCAGGGAGTGAAGCCTCAGAAGGCTGCTTCTTCTACTTCCTCAGGGGGTCATCACGGCAGCCATAAAAAACGAAAGAATAAAAACCGACACAGGTCAGTGGCAGGGGCCCCCACCTCTCTGCCCCGCTGCCCTGCCCCGCCACCCCCACTCCCCTGCCCAGAGCTGCCATGACTATTGCTGCAAAGGGACTTCACTAGAGGAAAAATTCGTCAGGATTGGTGCCACCTTTCTGTTACAGATGGGGAGAAATTGCTCTGGTCCAAATGAAACAGGCGAAGTTTTCTCCAGTGGAGGAATGGGTGGGCATTAGAGTAAAGGTGAAGGAAGACAGCCTTCTCACTTTCTAGTGTAGAAGAATTTCATTCCATAAACACTTTGTTTAATACGGTGAAGCTGAGGAGGAAAGGGGGAAGTCTGTAAAGTTGGACTTGGAATATGGCACTAGTACATGTTGGGAAGCTGCCAAGTGGGAGAGAGTCTTTTGCTCCTAATCCTGGTCCCTGCTTACACTTACTCCCTTGTGGGTGGACAGAGCTGATCTGACATGCCTTTTTTTCCTTCTAAATACAAGGTGTTTGATTGCTTATGATTTCTTTGTTTTTATATATCTCTGTAATATGCTGATTTCAGATATCAGAGAGGAATAATATAAAGTATATATAAGATATGAGAGTACCTTTCTAGATAATGTTTGTCCACTGTGTGTGTTTTTGTTTTTGTTTTTTTACAGTGCGTAATGAGATAGGAATGACATCAGTGGACAGAGAGGTCAGGTGTCACCCAGAGAGGATTTTAGCATTCACTCTGCCTGGGGTTTGTATGATAATACCAGGGCCTATTAACTCAGATAATTGGAAATTACACAGCTGTACTCAGAGAGGGTGATGCATAGCTTCTAGAGTGAGCAGTCTTGCCCTGACCTCAAACTTTCTTCTGGCAGGCATGAAAACCAGGTGTCCATAGGCTGGCTTTTGTCCTGCTCCTCTTGGGAGCTTACATACTGAGGTGAAAGGGCGCAAGCAAGGAAGAGGCGGGGTTTCCTGTCCTCCGGTGCCCTTCTGGGTTGGGTTGCTCTACAGACCTGTGGGATATTCCTTCATGCACCCAAGGCATCCATGGTGTTAGCTTTGTGGTTATGGCACATGGGGATAATATAGAATGAACTTGAACTGGCTTAAGCCTCCTAGGCATCAGCAGATTCTCTAATTCTTGTAAGAACTTTTCTTGTCAATGTGGTGGTGGTTTTTAGACTGCAGAAATAGTATTTCCTCCAAAAAGTGACCCAAGATCGCTGCTTAACGCTTTCCTGCAAACCGAAAATCACTGTGCCAATCTCATGACTGCAGTAAGAAATAGCAAAAATTGCACATCTTTTTTTGTGTGTAAGGTTATATAGGCTATTTGATCACTGTGGTAGGACTAATGCTAGCTAATCACAAACAGTAGCAGGGAACCAGTATTACTCTTAAAATATTTTTTTAAATTGTTAAGGTAATTAAATGCCATGCTCTGTGTTGCTTTTATTAAAGTCACTCCAGTGTTATTTTAAAGTAATGATTCTTTTCCTGTTTCACAGTGTCTAGAGTAGGGGGACAATTCCTTGAAGTTTCTGGGACATTTTTTCCATTAGTGATACAATAGATAGCTACTGTTTATTGTAGGTGATACTTCCCCTTTTTTAATGCCATGATCAGCTGACTGATAAAAGGGAATTAGGCATGAACTTAACTTCCTCCTGTAGGTTTCTAGTAGATTTCCATAGGAACAGCACTTCTTCCTACCCTTTTTCCCTCTGGCTCCCAGAGCTAACTCCTTCCAGAAAAATAGAAGGATTTATAAAGATCTTGGATGTTACTTACTGCTTTCACAAATGGTGTTTTCTGTTTGGAAAGCAAGATCCTTTTGTCATCCCCCTGGCTTAATATCTGGCTGGCCTTTTCCCTTGGCCATAGGCGCCTCCGTGCCCCAAGAGAGCAGAGTGAAGCTGATTTGCCTTCTTTCTGTATAAAAAGGTTCAGTGCACCAGAGTGGCATCTCAGGGGCCAGTGAAGGTTCTCACATTCCTGCCATCTTCAGTAAGGAAATGTCCAAACCCCTTGTCCCCGACTCATGTCTTTGTGGCTCTTTCAGATTGTGGGAGGATGGAGTACTTTGTTCATACATATTTGTACATTTGCATTCAGTACCGTCCTTGTTTCTCCTCCCAACTTGCCACGCCCCCTCATAAAATCAGTGGTAAATTATTTCAACAAATGTCTGAATGCCTACTGTGTGCCAGGCACTGTTTAGGGGCGAGTAAAGCAGATGGAAATGAATTCGGCACTGTAGCAAAAAGGAGTAACTTACGGATTTGTCCTCTTGAGGAATATGAACATTGTCAAATAATTTTTAGCATTCATACATGATCACAGTGTTCTGAATTCTTATATTTTACATGATATCTGAATAATAAGTCCCAGTGCCTTTAAAGAAAAAAATTGAAATAATAACTTACAGCGGCTCTTAGAGGTTTTTACTAATACACAAAACTCTAGAATTCTTCTAGGTAGTTTGTGACATTTTCATTAAGTAGGTACAGTCTAATTTGCAAACAAAATTAAGTTAGGCTGAAAATTAAATTTTTTTTTTTTAAAGATTTTTATTTATTTATTCATGAGAGACAGAGAGAGAGAGAGAGAGGCAGAGGGAGAAGCAGGCTCCCAAGGAGCAGAGAGCCCGATGCGGGACTCGATCCCAGGACCCTGGGATCATGACCTGAGCCGAAGGCAGACGCTTAACCATCTGAGCCACCCAGGCGCCCTAAATTTTTTTTTTAAGTTTTATTTATTTTAAGTAATCTCCACACCCAACGTGGGGCTCCAACCTACATCCCCGAGATCAAGAGATCTCTTCTGGCTCTTCCAACTGAGCCAGCCAGGCGTCCCTAAAAGTTAAATTTTGGTAATTCCTCAGATGACTTAAGTGAGGCAGTTGCATAAGAGATATTGAAGTTACGCTTTCTTCCAGCTTCACTCTTGCAGACATGGGCCAGGAGGAAAATAGAGCATTTTGCATATTGTTTTAGCACCTGTCTACAGTGTGGAAGTTGTTGGAGCCAGCCAAAGAGCTGGTGTCATGCTCAGGGTTAATGTTTGCTTTGGAGGTCTGCCCAGACCGTGGCCTGTTAGCAGTGATGTCCTAAACAGGTGCCTCCTCTGCATTGTTCCCTTCCAGATCCCTGAGGCTCAGGTGCTGGTGGATGTCAGCTGTCCTTTGTCTTACTAGGGGGGCTGTAGATTTGGGTGTTCTTAATACTAGCTCTGACATAAACAGTTACCTGCCATCACCAATTCAGGGGCAAAGTGATGTGACCCTGCAGTTTTTTGGAACAAGACTGTCACCGAAGTTTATTCATTTGACCCTTGGCTTTCTAGGATGAATGCTCTAAAAAAGAGTCCCATGTTCCCTGGACATTCTTAGAACTTACAACTTGAGTTAAAAGTTGCAAAATGTTTTCTTTTAAAAAATGTATAATGTTTTTATCTTTTATGTTAGTCAAAGTGTATTGTGCTGATTTGTTAGTACCCTCTTCAAAGCACCCTTTCAATATATGACTAAACCCTTCTTTCTCTATTTCTTCTAATGCCCTATTTATATTTTTCACTATAATTATGTATTTTAAAAGTTCTAACTCTGAATCTGGCAGCTAATAGATGGCCTGCAGGTACCTCATTTTCTAATGAAATAACTTCCTTTCATAGTCTGTTCTTCTGATACAAAACCCAGTGAGGGAAGGGACTCTCCCAACTGCAGAATCTTTGGTGCTTTGATGTTTGAAACTTTATGGCTTAAGATTCTTAAAGCTGATTTTGTTTCTACGAATCTTGCTAGGGTGGCTAATCGACTAATTTATTCAGTTAGTATATTAATTTCTATTGCTTTCTTCCTTTCAAATGCTGCCCCTCAGCCCGTCTGGCATGTTTGATTATGACTTTGAGTAAGTTTGATTTGAATTAGTATTTGTGCTGTGTTGTTTAGTGTGTAGAGACCAATATGCCTTTTTGAGACCTTTCTAACCCATAGTTTATCTGTTTAATTGTAGGTATGTATATTAGGTTAGGCTGGGAAGTTTTTTTTAAAAACAGAAAAACGTGATGGAGGTAACATTTTATTTAATAACTTAAGCAAAATTAAGTAAACTTCACTTTTATGCATTTTAATTTCTTTAAAAATAGATAACCTTTACTTTAATTCACATTTAAATTGATTTTCTGGCTTTGCTTCATAAGGAGATTAATAGTTTAAGATCTTGATATTTTGCTTTGGAAAGATTTAAAAATTGAAATTTGTGTAATTTCTTCTGTGTTTCATGTCCAGAAATACAAACTCCTAGTCTCTTTCCTGTTCTTAATCATTATGTGTCTCAGTGATTATCAGTGATATAGTTACAAAGCTAACACATTAACATAGAGCATGCCCTCTTAATCCAATCTCTTTATAGTTTTGAATAGTTTTAAAATTATATGGCTTTCATAACTGCTGTATATTTCTTTTTGTCATCTAAGTTTGCCTTGTGGCGAGAGTATCTGCTTATGTTTTTAAATACTTGCTTAATAATATCTGGGTAAACAACTAAATATGACATAGTCTAATGAAGAATGTGGGTTTTACTTAACCAAATAGTCTTTGTTATAGCTTGTGCCATATGCAGTAGCTGATTCCTGGCCCCTTTCTGTAAATTAAAATGCGAATATGTTTTATCTTTTCTATCGCAGGATTGATCTGAAGTTAAACAAAAAACCACGAGCTGTAAGTATCAGCCAGACCATTTCAGAGAGGCTGGTGATTTTGTAGATGATTAGAAAAATGTGTTTGTCTTCAGAGCTGAGTGTTCCTAATCTCAGGTTACAACTCTCATTTTAAAGGCTGGGGAGGGGTGTACCCATTTGGATACACTTCAACTTTTAGGTGTTATTTAGGTTTTTTGTATTTTGGATAGAGAGAGGGGTCACACATTTTTACTGAAGAAAATTTCCCTTTGATTAAAGAATGAATTGAATTGTTGCTACTAGTTGTTTTTATTTTTTGGGTTTTTTTTTTTTGCCTATTTTTGAACTTTATTTAAATCATACACACTTCTTAAAAACATAGTGTGATCATTGTTTGTTATTTCAAATGACAGCATAAGCATTGCTATTTTGTTAAGCACTTTGTAAATATACTTTTGATAGCTGCATAATCCTAAATCAGGGAGGTACTGTAGTTTACTTAACCATTCCCCTCTTGCTGGAAATTAACATTTTTCTGGACCAAGGTTTTCCTCCTGGCTAGGCTCTACAGAGCAGGTCACAAGGAAGGCTGGCTGGAACTCTCAGGCAGGAGCTGAAGGGATAGTCCACGGGTGGAATTTGTTCAAAGAAACTTCTGTTTTGGTCTCCAGGTCTTTCAGATGATTCAGTCAGTTTCCCTATCCCCGCCCCAACACACACACACACACCATCCAGGATAATTTCCTTGACTTAAAGCTAACTGGTTGTAGATCTTTTTTTTTTTTTTTTTTAAAGATTTTATTTATTTATTTGAGAGAGAGAGACTGAGAGAGAGAGCACATGAGAGGGGGGAGGGTCAGAGGGAGAAGCAGACTCCCCGCTGAGCAGGGAGCCCAAAGCGGGACTCGATCCAGGGACTCCAGGATCATGACCTGAGCCGAAGGCAGTCGCTTAACCAACTGAGCCACCCAGGCGCCCCTGGTTGTAGATCTTAATCACATCTACAAAATGCCTTCACAGCAACACCTAGATTACTATTTTTTTTATTTTTATTTTTTTAAAACTTTTTTATTATGTTAATCCCCATACATTACATCATTTGTTTTAGATGTAGTGTTCCATGATTCATTGTTTGTGCATAACACCCAGTGCTCCATGCAGAATGTGCCCTCCTCAATACCCACCACCAGGCTAACCCATCCTCCCAACCCCCTCCCCTGTAGAACCCTCAGTTTGTTTTTCAGAGTCCATCATCTCTCATGGTTCGTCCACCCCTCCGATTTTCCCCCTTCATTCTTCCCCTCCCGCTATCTTCTTTTTTTTTTTTTTTCTCTTAACATATATTGCATTATTTGTTTCAGAGGTTTTGTTTTGTTTTTGATTGGTGAGCTCAGGGGACCTAACAAGGGCAGAACTGATGTTTCGGTCCCTCTGTGGACTTGGAAGACGGGACATTTTCAGATGTGAAGTATTGTCTGTTGCATTTGAAGTAGCATCTTTGCCCATAGAGCAATCCCCTAGCAGGGTTGTTAATGAATTTCTTCTTAAGCTCCAGCTAATGTTCTGAGAGTAAGTTGGGACTCTGTTTTTCTCTCTTCAGGACTATTAGAAGACTCATTAGTTCAGAAGCTTCCAGGCTGTAGAGCCCTGCTTCCCTGCTCCAACCTCACAAAGATACATATCGCTCACCTGAGTGTGCGGCCATCCACCTCTGCTTTCCCAGACCCAGTGCCTGTGACTCTGAATAGTTTGTTCTGAAACGTGGTGACAAGTCATTTCTGTAAGACTACATTGGATCATTTACTGTGTGTCATTTTTAGTAACAGAACTGCAAGAAGACCAAGACATGGTTATAATTCCAGCAAGTTGCTAACTGTGCATTTCTCCCTTCTTGGAATGAATGTGTCCCCCCAAACTGGCTGGCACCAGCTTCATCTGTGATACCCATTGAGAAATGTTCTCTGGTTTTGTTTTATGCTGAAGGTAGAACATAGGTCACGTTTCAGAGGGAGGCTGTAAATATTGGGCATTTTCTTATTTTGTTTGTGTTTTATTATTTTTCTATTGTTTTTACCATCTTCTTTTCTTTGGGGACTTTTTGTAATGCCGTTGTACAGCTCATACCTTCCTGCCGACATATCTGATCATCTGCTTCATGCAATTGCCAATAATCTTCACTGAAAATAATCTGGTTTACCATAAAGAAAATGGGGAACTTGGCTCTGTGTTTTTGCAGGGGGAAGGTAAAGAGGGTTTATTTAATAATTACCTATCTTAAATCTTTCTGCATTGGAGGCAGTTTTATGTTCAAGGAACAGGAAAGGCTGAAAAACCTAAGTTTAAATCAATCCTTTTAAAATAGATATTTTTATTCTTTTATATAAATAAAATTTCGCAGGTGTTGACTTCTCATGCTTTACTTTTAAACCTGAGATTGTTTTTTCACTTATTTTATTTATTCATAGTATCATGCCTTATGGAAATTTCTTCCTTTTTCCATTTTTCTTTCTTTGCTGGTATCTGCCTGATTAAACATTGCTCTGAAAATCATTAAGGCATATGGAAAGGCTCAACATTGCACCCAAAGCTGGTAACGTTACGGAGTTCTGGAGCAGAGTGAGAGATAGGATCTGCGAGAGCTAGCGATGCCCAGCAGACCCCCTTCCTCACAGGGCCGGCCGGGCTGGGGAACTTGCCGATTTGTTGAACTGTTACCTGCCTCGAGAGTGGTGCTCGGCCTCGGCTGCTCTTGGGAGTCACCTGGGAAGCTTAAGGACCTACTGATGCCTGGGTCCCAACCCCAGAGACTCCGGCTGGAGGACAGTCTAGTGACTGGGATTTCCGTCCAAAGAGTCCCTGGGATTCTGATAAGAAGCCAGGTTGAGAACCACTGCATGAGGAGTGTTTGACTGAAATCCTATGTTGCGAATCAGTCTAGGGGTTAAGATTTGGGGCCCCATCTCCCCTTTGATGCTGTCTAGTCATAGTCCTTGACTTAGGCCCATATCTTTGTTAGAGCAAATATGTTCCATTGTGATAATATTGGTAGAGCTGAATACGGATGGCGTCTGTTAGCAAAACGAGTCTACCTTGTCAGATGTGCAAAAGCTTTCACTCTTGTTCTCAAATAAACTTTTTTTTTTTTTTTTTTTTTGGACTCTGTGGCTAATTAGATGTCTTTGGTAGCAGAACTCCAATCCCAGGGTTTTTAAGAAAATAGTTTCTTATATTTAGATTGTTCCTTAAAAAAAGAGAAAAACAATTATAAAGCTAAAAACCATGGGGACCAGAAGACATCTGTTCCCTCCTTTGTCAGTTTCTCTCCTTTCCCGGGAGAGAGAAGTGGGGCTTCCTGCAGTCTCCGTGGCCCAGAGGAGAGCACACAGGAAACCTGAGAATATTTCTCTCATAGTTTGACATTTGCTTGAGATCTGGTGGGATTGCTCTTAAAAAGCTGTGTTATGTAAAAACATACCTGTGTATATGAATACACACGTATGTCTATGATCATGGTTAGAGGTAGGCTGCTTGCTTTATACTTATTTTCTCTGTATAGTTTTCAGTCATTGATTAGGGGACCTCCAAAGTTTTCCTGTAAGCTGGCCACAGATTGAAGATATTTAAGTCTCAAGAGACTGCTTATGTTCTCTAAATTGGGGAGATTTAGGCAGAAACCCTAAGAGATGCCTACCATGCTTGTGATATTTGTCACTTTGGTTATTAACTAAGTTAGTCTGACAAACTTAGATGTGACCAGTGACCCTGCCAGAATGGCTGCCAGGACCCCTTCTAAGCAGGCCTTCACCTGATAATTGGGGTCGGGAATAGTATTTTGCTTTAGGCCTTTAGCCTTCTCATCTCCACAATGGGAAGAAGTTGTCCTTTGCTCCTGTTGGTGGTTATAAGGCATTTAAAAAAATCCAGGCCCTTGGTAGTTCTATTTCATGTCTTCTAGGACGATGGTGACTGTACATGGCTCCCGAGGGAGTCTTAAGTATGCTTGCTCTTCCAGGAAATCGTTTATTTTGTTGAAACTCCAAATGTTCTAAATAGCATCAGACCCTGCAAGGGAAGATGGAGAGCAGGGACAACCCGCAAAGGAGAAGACCGGCGGCGCTGTGGGACCAACAGGAGGGCCTGAGAGGGGAAGGGCCGGTGGGCCGAGAGCACGGGCGTTCAGAGCTGCTGTCCGTGTCTTGGGGGCCTCTGGAGTGCTTTGAGAAATGGAGCCTTCGGGTGCTATAGAATAGTCTGTAAGTATCCTACAAGGAGGATTGTTGATACCTTGACCTGTGTGATGAATAAGGGAATGGAAACAAGTATTTAAATGGCCTAACTTTGAAAGGAGTAAATGCGCTGTTTTGAAACACTGCGACCTAGTTTTTGCTTCTATTCTGACTTCTCTGCCCCTCAGCCTCACTCCCAACTACTGAGGCGTGACTGCGTGTAAAAATGCACGTCTGCAGCCCGCTGCCAGGGCCACTGCACAGGGCCCGAGTGGAGCGTGAGCGTGAGCGTGAGCGTGCGCCTTTGTATGCACGTCCTTCCCCGGGCTGCTGCCCTGCGCGGGTCCTGGGAAGGTGACTGAGAAGGCACTGGGATTCTCATTCCTGTGTTCGTGTAAATGTTACCGTGTCTGAATTTTCTAAGTGAACTGGATTCAGGATTGGAAACAATTTTCACTTTGGAACACTCCATCTGTAGAGTAAAAGTTTTCACTGCTAAGATGGGCTGTGGTGTTGATTCTGACCCCCGCTTCAGCGCAGGGCGGTGGTCCCCAAGGAGGAGGGTATGGAGGATGGCCCATGGCTTGGGAGGGGGTTGGGGGGGCACATATCAGGCCTTCAATTTGTATGTATTTTCTGACTCAGCCTTTTTTAGTTGTCACTTTGAATGTGTTATAAAATATACATAAATATTCATTAGTACATGTAGATACTTGATAAATAAACGTTAGGTTGAACCACAAGCAGTTGCTGCACTTCAACCATTTTGATCTTCAAAACGGGCAGTTATCCTGATTTAACGACGTATATGTGTTGGGGGTGTGTATGCTCTCAGTGTTTACTGTTCGTGGACAAGAATAGCCTTTGGAGGCCCTAGCTAATAGAACCCTCCTCAGATCCCCACCCCCATAACTTCTGTTCCCTAAGGAGGCATTAAAAGATTTAATTTGAATAAATAATACATGCAAATGGCATATATTCAAATAGTACGGGAGTATGGTCAATGAAAAAAGTCAGTCCAGCCGTCCCTCAGCGCCCAGTTGTCCTTCCCAGAGGCGGTTCCTTGCGTGCCCTTCCAGAGGAGCTTTGAACACATACGAGCAATATGCACACAGGCATGTGCCTATTACAAAAATGGTAGCATACTTTTTTCACCTAGGAATACAGCTTAGAAAGCGTGCTATAAATGCAGCTTATAAACCTCATTTCTGTTGGCTACTTAACATTCCTTTATGTGCGTACACCACAATTTATTCAGCCAGCCCTCTACTGATGGCATTAATGCTGTTTTGTCCTCTTTTGCCATTTCGGGCAGTGTTGCAGTGCCTTACATTTTGTAAATATGATTCTTGGTGGGACTGCTGAGCCATTTGGGATGTGTCGAAGGGTTAAAACACGGATCTCACTGTGACTTTATTGCCCAGATCACTTTTTAAATGTGAATACTTGTGTTTTTTCTCCTTTTCTATTCCTTCGTATTTCTCCAGTTCCTGAGGACTTTTCTTGGGTAATTTGTTACCCATAACAGTTGGAATTTTCTGGAGCTTTCAGCTTTGCAAAAGGCAGGACTGATGCCTCTGATGTTGCTTTCTGGGGTGCAGCTGCAAATGCCATTAAGAATTCCCATTTTTGCCTTAACACTTACATATTACTCTCTTTAGAGTCTTGTTTTCAGATCCTATTGAAGATGCTTGTCTCTAGGCACTTCGTTCAGGCCAGTGCTGACAGTCGTACCGGGAGGCGCCGGCAGGTGGCAGGCAGAGCCCCACAAGCGCCCCTGGCCTTTAGTGGGGCTCTAATCTGGAGAGCCGCGCAAATCAGAGCCCTTGGACCCTTCCCAGACCCAGCAACGTGCCCAACCCGGTGTGGGGTGGGGTGGGTTGCCTGATCCTTTCCTTCTATGTAATTCTGCAGCTGTTTCTTAGATGGGTGAGCAATTTAACGTGGCCAGGACCTGCCTTGAGATGGCCTTCAAAAGGCGACATCCCAGGATGACAGCCTGGGGGCCTCCTCCCCATCCAGGAACTAGCTGGAAGGATTTACATACCATGGCCTGGGATGGCCTGAGTTTCCTTAATGGTAGAGCTCTACTTCCTGTCTGTTCAGCCAAATCTCCCACACCCTTCCCATGAACAAGGAGGTCCCCAAAACAGGCTCTTACTCACCACCCTCTACTCCACCCACTCTGCTGTGGTCTGGGGTGGGGGAGAAATGAGCCAGAGATTTGAGAAGCCCTGGAGCAGAAGTGCTAGGGTCCGGGGACTGCCTTATTTGGGGGCAGGAGCCTTTGGGGAGCAGCGAGGCCCAGGGTGTGAGGTGCTGGCTCCAACCCCTCCCAACTCCGAGCTCTGTGTCCCACTGACCCCCAGTTTCTCTGGCGGAGACCTGAGCCCCGCCTTCCGCACAGGGGTCCTGCCCTTCTGTGTAGGGCAGGAAGTGGCAGCAGTGGTGGTCAGCGGTGGCCTCTTCGCAGTCACTGCCCCACACCGACCGCCCTGCAGGGGACCAGCAATGTTTGAGGGGCTAGCACACTGGGGGCGTGGGGCCTGGGAGAGCCGCTCCCTGGAAGCCTCAGAGCTCTCTGGCTCCTTGTTGAAATTCCCCAGACCTTTAGGGACCGCTGGGTTTTCCTCTGGCCAGTGAAGTGGGGTGGGGACAGAGTGGGTGGGGACACCCAAGGAAGAGAGTTTCATCCATGTGGGGCCAGTTCGTTCTCTGCCGGGGAGGCCAAGGTTCCGTAGTCCCCCTGTACCCCCAGCACAGGGGTTAACCTCGCAAGAAGACCCGGGGTCAGGCCCCTGCTGGTGAGGGCCCCAGGGTGAGGTGGGGGTCCTGCGGGGGTTGGGGAGGGGCTGGCAGGAGGCTGTCCTCTGGGAGCTCCCCAGGATCATTTCCCAACAGTGCAGGGATTTGCATACTCACAGGTTTCCCCATCAGCGTCTCGGCTCCTGGAACCAGGAAGGCAGAGGAGGAAAGGGCACGCAGAGCAACAGCCATCCGAGTGGGGTCCCCTCAGCGCTGTGGTGGCTTGAAGTGGGCTCTCAGGCTCCCTTCCAGCCCTGCCACCTCTCCTTCCCTCGAGCCCGTGTGAACCTCACACCTCTTTTGTGAGGCAGGCCGGGAAGCTGAGGCTCTAGGAGCAGGGGTTGCACGGGGCCCCACAGCCAGGACTCTTCCCTCTCAGGCTGGCACCCCACGCACTGAGGTATCTTCTAGTCAGTCTAGGGCCATGGCGGGAAGAGCGAGGCCCTGTGAGGGCAGGTGCTTCGGCGGGCCGGCCAGGAGCTGGTCAGGAGCTGGTCAGGAGAACTTCCAGTTAAAACCCACGCCCTGGGCATTGGGCCTGGCAGCCAGCTTGAGAGAGCACCGCGGAGGAGCGGCTCCGGGTCCCGGGGGGCCGGCGGGGAAGCACGGCACGCGGGCGCAGGCCCACGGAGCCCCGGGCCTCGAGCCTCAGCCGGCGCCCGCCGCGGGCCCGCTGCCACCCTCGTGGGCGCCCGGCCGAGAGCCAGCCGGGGCCAGACGCAGCCTCCAGACACGAGCCCCTCCCGGCCGGACCTGCCGCCCGCTGCCCGCCTGCCTGGGGGACCCTCCCCCCACACCCCCAAAGCTCTGCTCTGGTCAGGGGCCGAATGTGAGCCCTCGAGTCTGTGGACAGCTGGCTGGTGGGATGGGAAGAGGGGCGCGGGCACCCTACTTCTCCTTCCGGGCCACTCCGTCCCACGTGGGGTACAGACGGAGGGGGCTTGGTGGGTGCGGGGCCGAGGGCGCCCCCTGCCTCCCTCCCTCTCGGGCCTGAGAGTTGCTGCAAACCGGTGTGGGGGGTCCTTCCTTCTTCCGGTGTGTAGAGCCAGGGCCCCAAACTCGAGGGCCTACTCCAGCCTGCCCTCAGGCAGACCACTCAGCCTGGCCTTGCCAGTGGCCTTGCTTCCTTCGCCGCACCGGTGGCTGATAATGGCCTGGACAGTCTGGCTTTTAGCTTCCTGACCCACAGAAACAAAGGAAGACCCGTAAATAGCCTTTTAATCTGGAATACAGTACTCGATTGGAGAAAATATTTTATAAGGAAGGCAATGACATCTCTTTGTGCAGATAAAACCTTCCAAGGAGGCTGGAAGCCAACGGGCATGGGGTACCTTGAAGAGCACGTGCTTCAAGGAAACGTTGGCGGAGATCGTTCCCACTTTGCGCCTGGGTCCCTGCTTTAACTGCCGGCTTCTAAAGAATGTTCAGGGTGGGGCGCCTGGGTGGCGCAGTCGGTTGAGTGTCCGACTCTGGATTTCAGCTCAGGCCGTGGTCTCAGGGCTGTGGGCTCGAGCCCCACGTTGGACTCCTCGCTCAGCAGGGAGTCTTGGACATTCTCTTTCTCCCTCTCCCCCCAACTCGCTCTTCCCTTCTCGCTCTCTCAAAATCTTTTAAAAAAAAAGTTCAGGGTGAAGAACACAGTGGGGGCCCAGCGTGCAGGGAGAGGGCCAATGTGGCATTTTCCTCAACATGCTGCTCAGGTGTTCTGTGGTAAAGCAGTTTCTAAAAAAAAAAAAAAAAAAATACAGATACTATAAAAGCTTCACAAACAGCAAGTACAGATTAGGTGAGATGTTCAAATATAGAATTATTAAAACTGTATTTTTTCCATTTTCTCCTGCTGATGGTGTTCAGGGATCATACGACAGCCCAGCTTTTCACTTAAAATCTGTAGCATTTATATCTCATTTTTTCATCTGAGAAAAATGTATATTCCTGCCTGGCTTCCTCCCTTTTAGGGGCTGCTGAGAAGGTAGAGATGGTGAGGTGAACACAGCCCACAGAGAGCAACACCAGAGACCCTTTGATGAGCACTTACTATGTGCCAGGCATTGGGTCATGTGGTCAACATGCATACTCTCACATCCTCCCTACAATCCTGTAAGGTAGGTACCGTTATTATCCCCACTTTACAGATGAGGAAACTGAGGCCCAGAGAGGGGGAGTCACTTGTCCCCAGTGAATCCAGTGGCAGAGCTGGCTCCTGAGTTTGGGACCAGGACCCCTAGCCTCCCGCACAGAGGCTACCCCGGCGTCGCCTTTCCAGGCTGTTCTGCGCCCCCTGCCCCACTCTGGTGGAGCTCCACGTCTAGAACATGGCAGTGCCTGGGAAGGTGGGGCCAGAGCCTAACACCCAAGGGCTCCCCCACCATCTTCTCTCCTCAACTATCCTGGAAGCCCTCTTCTCAGAAAGCCAGATGGTTTTCTGTCCTCAGCTCTGGCCACAGGACAGAAAAGGGGAAGAGCCCAATCCCGCCCCCTGCCCCCAACCCTCGCCACCCCACAGCCACAGGACTTCAACTCCCCAACTTTCCCCCACCTCCTCTCAAGGCCTGGGCCACGGCCTCAGTAAGGAAGGCTCTGCCCCCAAGGGACTGAGCGCTTTGGGTCAGGTGCACACCTGCTGACCTTCCACTGCTCAAAGGCCCCCTCAACCCCCAAGTACAACCAAGACCATCATCTCTTAAAGGGGTCACATTGTACTTTACTGACATGTTAAAGGAGGCAAGGACTTACACTTAAAGTACTTAACATTCTACCTGTACACATACATACGCGTCCCCACTCTTGCAGGAGAGGTGACTCGGAGCACAGAGGAAGGGGAAGAGAGGGTGGGGACAGAGGACCCTTGACCCCTAGTGGGGGCAAGCAGACAGGCAAACAGAGTGGGACGGAAGGTGGGTTATTAAGAAGCATCTTGCTTACTAACATGAAGCCTGGTGCCCTGCGAGAGCACCAATGTGGCCTCATTGGCGTACCGGAGGGGCCCTTGGAGGGCAGGCACACGGTGCCTAACTAGCCAGCCGAGGCCGGCATCCCAGGGACGGGGCGGAGGTGGGGGGCCGTGCACAGGGCCCCCAGCCCAGGCCTCTGCTCCCCACCGCCTCCCTCCCCGCCCTCTGAGAGAAAGGGGGGTTTGGGCTTCAGCCACGGACTGATGCCTTTACGGCAGCGTCTCCTTAAACTACAGATACAATGTGCATCAACAGGGCGATCGCTCCTGCCCCACTCGGCAGCCGGCTCCAGGCGCCGGGGGGCCAGAACCAATCCTACAGTTCTCTTTGGTTTGCAGTTTCCCTTCCCTACTTCAGTCCTCCCTCAGTCTAGCCTTGGGGGTGGCTGCCGCCGCGCAGCCAGCTCACTTGCTGGAGTGCCGGGGCTGGTAAGAAAGGATCTCTGCAGCTAGCCGCTGGGGGTCCAGGAGCTGCGGGAAGCGCCCCATCACAGCCTCTACCAGGTGCGGGGGGAAGACCCCGCACAGCTTGGTGAACACGCTGGCTCGCTCCTTGGCTAGGCTGCCAGCCCCGCCCCATGGGCCCCTGTCAGCCCCCGGGCCTGGCACCTGCCGGTCCTGCAGGACTGGGGTGGGCGGGGGCAGCTGGTACGGCTCAGACCAGTACTCTCGAGGTGGAAAGGCAGCCGGCGGGGGGGCATAGTCAGCAGGGACACTGAAGTGGCCGGCACCCACGGCCCCTCCAAAGGCAGAGAAGGCCCGAGCGGCTGGGAGCTCGGCCCCGTAGGGGCTGTAGCCGGCGTAAGGGCCCCGAGGCGGGCCGGGCTCACCAGGGCCCCCTCCGCGAACCCCCCAGAGTTCGGACATCTGGCTCTCCAGGGAGCCGATGCCTGAGTCCAGACACTCTTGGGACGTGTACGGGAGAGACTCCGGCGTCTGTGGGAACCAGTCTGTTGGCCCAAAGCTGCTGCCACTGCCCCCACCAGGCGGGAGGCTCCGGCCGGCTGGGGCGAAGGGCTGTGTCAGACCCTCTCGGTGCGGCCCCGGGGATGCCTGGGCTCCCAGCTTCTTCCCGTCCAGGCTGCACTGCTCATGCTCTGTGGGCCCAGGGCCGGGTTGGGACGAGGGTGAGGGCCTCTGGCCGCTTCTGTCCTTGCCCGGGGCCCTGGGGAGTGGGAGGAGGGCATTGGCGCGGAGCTCGTCAGCCACGGAGCGCTGCGGGCGGCTCGGCCGCTCCGGGTGGAAGAATCGGCACTTGATCCCGTAGGTGCATTTCCTCCCTGCAAGACAGTAAGGGGGTCTCTGGGCGGGGGGCTGCAGAACCAGGGCTGGGAGAGGGAAGGGGGTGGCACAGTAAACTCGGGGTTGGGTGGTCTCCGTGAGGAAGAATCGGGGCCCAGGTGTCTTACCGTAGGGACACGGCTGCTTCCTGTGCTCCGCTGTGAGCGGCTTCTTGCGCAGGAAGTTGTCCAGGCTTGGCCCGTGACGGCCCAAAGGGTCATCGGGGGGCATGAACCTGCAGAGGAGGTGGGAGGCGTGAAGGGAGCTTCCCAGTGCGGAGCGGGCAGGGGGGCTGGACAGTGAGCCTCACCAGGAAGAAGAGGAGGGAGAGCAGCTCCTAAAACTGGTGATCATCCTGCAGGACATCCCTGGGCCCTCAGGGTGGGAATGCCCCAAGGGAGGGGAGGAGGCCCCAGCCGGAGGGGCCATCAGAGCAGCTTTCGTGCTGGGAGCTCCGGAGGCAGTGGGAGGCCTGCAACCTGGAAATCTGAATCTAAGGCTGCACCCATCCACGGGCCGCTGATCAGGGACTGAGTGCTGGGAACCACTGACCATATCCCATCACAGATGCTTCTGCCCCACCCCCCACCCTGGCCCGTCCCCAGCCTGACCCCTTCTACCTGGTGCCAGGTCCCTCTCGCTCCCAAAGCTGCCTGGATGCAAGGCCGTGGCCCCAGCAGAGCTCCTCCTAGCCGCCCCCCACACCTGATGACACATCTGGCTCCCCCCCACCCCCGGGGACCCCAGACCCGAGGGCCAGGACCGTACTTGTCATTGACGAAGGAATACATGAGCAGCCGCTCCTCAATGAAGCGCTTCCACTCCTGCCGCTCGCTCTGCAGGTCCCGGTACGTGTCGTTGGAGACCACGACCCCATCAGACTCGAAAGCCAGCTTCACGATGAAGCGGTCATCGTAGCACACCACACGCTTGCCACCCACGCGCCGGGACGGGGTAAACACCAGGATCTTCTTCTTCTCCAGCTCCCGCAGGATGTGCTGGTCTGCGGGACAGCAGCAGGGCAGGTCAGAGCCTGCCCTGGCCCCGGAGCCTCCTGCTGGCCAGGCACGGGGGCTCGGAACCCCAGGCACCCCGAGGCAGGAAGGGGCTGAGCGCAGAGGAAGCTGGGAAAAGAAAGGCTGGTCCCTGCTTGAGGCCTAGAAGTTGCTGGTCACACCCAAAGGGTCTCTCTTGGGGAGGAGCCCTGCTGGGGCAGGGAGACCACCCACTCCAGAGGTGCCACCCACCTGTGATGGGCACATCGGGCCGAGGCTGCTCCTTCCTCCAGGATGGCACAAATACCGTGATGTCTGTGTGGCCCCGCTCCAGAAACCAGTTCACTGCCAGGAGGATGCCCCGGCAAGAGAACACCTCCTTATTCCCGTGGCTGGGAAGGAGAGGAGGGACAGGTGAGCCTGCGAGGGTGGCTGGCCCACTCTCCCCTAGCCCCGAGCACAAGGGGCTTGCTCCCTAGCCGCTGGCCTGGCCTGGGTGGTGGAGTGGCGGGGCTCAGCCCGCTGCCCTCTGGCCCAAGGCCTGCATTCCCTGCTGGCTCCCACAGCGTCCGGGATGGCCTGACCAGGGACTTTCCCTGAGGTTCCATCTCCCGACAGTGAGGAGCCGCCCAGGAATCCGGCGGCACCCGCTCCCCATGTGGGGGAGGGTCAGGCTGCTTGCAACGCACCTGGGGGTGGGGGAAAGGCTCCAGGAGCCTTCTGGTTCCTGCCCCACCCGGGGGTGCTGGGACCACAGGGACACAGACGTACACAGGCACACTGAGTCACCCATCCTCCCTCGTCCGCTGGGCGGTGCTGTGGGTGGGGGTGGGAAGGGACAAGCCCCGGCTAACAGAAGAGAAACCAGATTGCTCTGGATTAAACATGGATTAAAGTTCAGTCCTACACAGGCCCCAGGGGCTGGGACCGAGGAGGGCGAAGAGGAAGGAGGCACAATCCATTGTCCCACACGGCGTGAGCGGTGACCGAGTGGGAGAGGCACACAGGAGCCTTTCAGTCTGAAAGTGAAAGAGCTTTTCCTCCCAAGACTGCCAATTCCCCCAAATGCCTGGACTGCCCTGGCTTCTCCTCACCCGGCTCAGGAGGGCGGGGGCTGAGGCAAGAAAGGCCATCTGGAAGCCACCAGGGGGACTCTCTCTCTCTGTTAGCAGGAGAGCTGGGAGGTAGAACATCCCCCTGCTGTGGTCTGACAGCTGGATGTCACCCCCTCCAAAGGTGGCTGGATCCAGAAGCAAGCCCAGACGGGCTGCTGGCTTGCTCTGGCTCAGTTTCCCTATCTGACAAATGGGCCTGGCAATCTGCAGTCTCCTTAAGAAGGGCCCATGTCAGGGGCATCACTTGCGTGTTTGCTTGAGGCCAGAGACAGTCCAGCAAAGTGGAGGTTCCAACTGGCTTCCTGGGAGGGTTAAGAGGGGGCTGGGGGCCCCCAAGGAACAGTGGGTGTTGTAGAAGGCCTCCAAGCCCAGGCTGGGGGCACTGGACGAAGCCAGCTACAGCTCCCTCCCCAACAGCCCCTGCCCCTCACTAACCCCTCCGGGAGCAGCTCAGACGCTTACATTTGGCAAATAAAACAGAATAAACGTTACACAAAAGAGGCAAGTCCATGGGCGACCACATCCTGTGGGTGGCTTTGGAGTGGGGGTGGTAGCTGGAGTCCCAAGAGAAGGTAGAGACGGGGGTGGGGCAGCTGAGGGGCACGGAGGCTGTCTGGGGGTGAGGCTGGGGCTCCCAATCTGAAGGTCTCCGTAAATTGTAAGGGAGGCAAAGTCCAGCTGAAGGCAGTGCTCACCCCCACCAGGTGGTGGGGCCTCCCCACCGTCCACCAGCCTGCTTATGATAAAAGTTACCATTTACTGAGAGCCAGGAGCCAGGCCCTGATCTAAGTGCTTAGTACGGAATCATCAGCAAGCCTCTGAGGAGGGTCCTATCATTAAAGGCCCCCTTCCCCTTCATTCCCATGAGAAAACCGAGCCATAGAGCACAACCAGTTGCAGTGACGGTGGGACAGAGACGCAGCCCAGAGCCTGTGCTCATAATACCCCGGCGCTGATGCTCAGACAGGTACAGAGTACCAACCCTGGCGGCGGGGACAGATGGGGGCTGAGTGGGCACCAAGCTCCTACTGGAGGCCAGATGAGTCCCACACCTGCTTTCTTCATCCTTACGAGGCCACAGTGAAGGAAACCGAGGATGCACAACTCATCTACGGCTCCCGGGCTAGTGGGAAGACAGAACTTGAACCCACATCTGAGGCCCCTGGCTTGCCTTCCTAGTCCTTAATAGCAAGACCTGAAGTTTGTACAGCAGAAAGAAAAGCTCCCAAATTTGAGTCTGAACACAGTGTTAAGAGGTAGGGGGCAGGCTGGGAACAGGAGACAAGGATGCATCTGGCCAACTCCCGCTCTTCCTCCAGCACCCACGTGAAACAGCACTGCCTCTGGGAAGCCTTCCTGGATGGACCTTCCAGGATAGCTCAGGTCCCTGGTTTCTCTTCAAATGCCCAGCGCTTCTCCCGTCACATTCCCGCCACCCGCGCTGGGCCTCTGCCGCCTCCCCACAGCCAGGGGAATGTGATCATCCCCGGCTTGGCTCCCCGGCTCAGGTAAGCAGTCAGCACAAGCACCCACTGGACCCACATCTGTACACGTCTGTCTACGTGCACATGCCCCATCCTAGGCCAGCATCTGCAAGCTCGGGGACTTAATCCAGGCTAGCATACTGCCTCTGGGCATCAAAAACCTGGGCTGGGGACAAGTCTGCTGGCAGCTGTCCTGGCCCCTAAAATACTCCGTAGGCAGGTAGTGAAGAGCCTTGCTCTTGGAAGGAGTTGAACCCACGAAGTAGTTCCGCAAGTCGATCCAGGCCAGGAGTGCCTCCCTAGAGCTAACTTTAGTCCCTCTTGCTGCAATGGAGGAAGCTCTGCTGGCACAGGAAAACCAGACATCCTCCCTCCCCCACCGCAGGCCCGTTTGCCCAGGAGGTCGCTTCCCCCCGCCGCCTGGCTAACTAGACATTGGCTAAGTTGTGTGAAGATGTAGGGGACTCCAGCTCGGCGGCTCCCACCCAAGGACAGAGGGCAGGGCCAGGCCAGACTAGCCAGGTGAAGAGATCTGCCTGGGCTGGGCCCAGCTAGAGGAGAAAAATTCCCTTAGAAGGAAACAGAGGTGAATTTCCCCACGATTTGCATATGGTGGGGGCTGGCCTGTCTGCCCTTGGGGGGGGAGGGGGCAGCAGGGCAGGAACCCAGCAGCAGCTGAGACAGGAAGTTTGAGGCTGGAATTCCCCTCCTGCTACCGCCCCAGCTCAGAAACCCCCACGGCTGTGCCTCTCCAGGCCGGCTCCTCAGGCCACCCCCCTCCTCCCGCCCAGGCCCCTCCTCCTCCTGCCAGGATACAAACACACAGAGCACATGGCTGTCCCCAGGGAGTGGGGAGCACGGGAGATGGTCAGCGCGGGCTGCCCCAAGCCAGCACAGCCTGCCCAAGCCTCCAGGGGAAGAAGTCACAGACCTGCACGGCTCCTGGGCCAGCCACAAGCTGCTGGAGCCAGAGAGGGGACCCCCTCTCAAAGAAAAGGTTGTCACCAGAGGCCGACAGCATGCGGGAGCCAGCTTTACCCAATCTCCCACCGAGGCTCAACCCATTTCTTTTTTTCTTTTTTTTTTTTTTTTTAAAGATTTATTTATTTATTTGAGAGAGCGAGAATGAGAGAGAGTACATGAGAGGGGGGAGGGTCAGAGGGAGAAGCAGGCTCCTCGCTGAGCAGGGAGCCCAATGCGGGACTCGATCCCGGGACTCCAGGATCATGACCTGAGCTGAAGGCAGTCGCTTAACCAACTGAGCCACCCAGGCGCCCCTCAGCCCATTTCTGAGACAGGAAGACTGATCCAAAGGTGGCCAGAACAGGGCCACCTGCACACCAGCTGAGCTGGGCCAGGATCAGCCTGACAGCTGACTTGGCCCAGCTGGGTTGGGAGTGGGAAGGGCCAAGGGCATTGAAACCTCAGGCAGCCCACCTGGGAGACCCCTCAGGGAAGCCAGGGAAGGAGCCCTCCCCAGGCCCCGACCAGGATCTGGAGGTCTCCCGACTGGAACTTTTCCTGGTGAATGATCCACCCAGCCCTGACCCAGAGGGCGGGGCCTGGATTGAAGGGAGGTCTGGGCTCCCTAGGGTCAGCCCTGGCCCCGGCTTCACCTGACCCCAATCCCTGTGACAGTCTTCTCGAAGGGCAGGATTACTGGGGTGGAGTCCTGGCTCTGGTCCTGGAGGGCCCCTAGGCCCAGTCTAGTCAAGGTGGCTTGGCTGTAGCAGAGGTGACCCAAGTCACAGCTGACCTGCCCACGCTCACCCCCCCTTCCCCCACCCCCACGCCCCCATGTAAGCCAGATCCTGGAGCTCACTCTTAGTCACAGCGACAAAGGTCCCAGTACCTGGGCCTGCTTCCTCAGAGTCCAGGTCTGGCACAACAAGGCCTCAGGGGCCCCAGACCCCTAAGTAACAGTAGTAACAACTACTGCTTACTGAGCTTGCGCTTCTGTTCAGGCTCTGTGCCTCCACTCCTCACAATGGCATCTGAGCAGGGGTTAGCTGGGTCTTACTGACGAGGAGAGAAAGCTCCAAGACATCAAGTGACTGGCTCCTACATGGGCAAGCTGGCCCCAGTCTAATCCCTTACACCATACTGCCTCATGTCATAGGAGAGGTACTGCGACTGAGTGATGGTCTTCAGGAAAAGACAAAGAGCCCAAGGTGAACACCAGAGACAGAAGGACCCAAGTTCGCATCCCTGCTCTAACGCTTACCAGTGGTGTGTGCCCATGGGCACATCTCTGAGCCCCTGTCCTCATCCCTAGAACATTCCTAACAAGCCCACTTCCAAGAAGCCATAAGGATTAAGGGAGAGCCTCAGTAAAGGGCTTTCCATTCCTCTTGATCAGTCTGGGAGAACAGTTCAAACTCTTTCCTGAAGGCCCCTCTACCAGAGATGCAGACACAAGGCCACCATTCTCCACCACAGGCCCTGGCCTTGGCCCTTTAAGTGACACGTACCTCATGGCCACGTTGCTACCGTCGATGACCACAGGTCTCAGGTCACTGCCTTCCTTGTTCTCCTCTGGGGGTGAGGGCTCCAGGGTGGGTGCCTTGGGGGTGCCCCCACCCCGGGGGACCAGGGGGGGCTGAGCGCAGGGGTCCGGGGAGGCCTGGCGCTCCCGCTCGCCTGCTGACCCATGTTTGACCAGCTCGCCCAGCACTGTGTTGGTGTCGGCCTGCACCCCCAGTTTCTGCAGGACACTGTGGATCTCAGCGGATGAGTAGCCTAGCTTCCGGAAGAAATCAACCTTCATCTGCAGCTCCACAGCCGGTGTCTCCTCAGTGCTGGGCTCCTGAGCCGGCCTCGGGGTACCTTGGCAGCTGTGGCTGTCAAGTTCCCACAGACTCATGGTGGGGCTGGCTTTCTGAGTGGACCTCTCTCCACCTGCCACTCACAGCTCAGACTGATGGGAGGCACCTGTCACAGCTCCTGTAGGACAACCGTAAGAATTAGGGATGGGAGTGGCTCTCTCTCCCACCCCTCTCCAGCCCCTACCCCACCCAACAGGTTGAGGCCACACTGACTGGTGGCACCAGGCAAAGCCATCTGCATGTGTCACCTCTCCTACCCTCTCAAAAGCTGTCCCAGCTAGGAGTCATCATTCCCACTTTATAAAGGATGAAACTGAGACACAGACTTCAAGAACTTAAGGTCATCCAGCTGTTAGCTGGTGGCACAAAGACTTGAACTCAGGCAGTCTGGCTCCACCTCCTACCCCGCCCCCAGCCCCACGGCAACCCAGGGGACCCAGAACTCCTGGGAGGCCTCGCAGGACGTCGCCGCGCCCCCACAGCTGCGGGGCGGGGCTCTCAGATGGAAACCCGGGGTTGGAAGTGCGCTGGGGTGGGGGGGAGGGGGTGCCGGGGGCTTCCCCGCTGAGGCCATCGCCTCCGCTCGCCCCGCGCTCCGAGCCCAGGCCCAGGAGGCGCAGGGCCCATGGCCGGGCTCCCGGGCCGGGAAGGGGGAAGTTTCCGGGGTGACCCACCGGCGAGAAAAGTTGCTGGGAAACTCTGGTTGGCCGCCGGGCGCGGGTGACGCGGAGGCTGTCGCGGCCCCGAGCCCCGCGCTCTCTCGGCTCCCCTCTGGACCTTGCCCCCCCCTCCCAGGCTCCCCCAACTTGGGCTAAGTTGGAGGGGTTCCCGAGGACCGGCGAGATCGGAGGGGACCCGCCCCACGTCCCTCCCCTCCGGCCGGTCCCAGCCGGAGCCCTCCCCGCGCCGCCTGCCCTTCGCCGGGGCCCGCGCCCCGGCCTCGCCGCGCGCCTCACCCCGCCGAGTGCCAGCCGCGGCCCGCGGCGTCTCCATGGGGCCGAGTCCCGGGGGCGAGGCCGGCGGCGCCTTTATACGGAGCGGGCAGGTGGCGTTCGGCACCGTGACGCGGAAGCCGGGCAGGGGAGGCGGTAGCCGGCCCAGGCGGTAGGGGGCGGAGCAGCCACCGCCCCTTCCTGCTCCGCCCCCGCGCCGCCCCGCCCCGCCCCGCGCCGCCCCGCCCCGGCCTCCGGCCCCGCCCCCGCGGCTCGGGCGCGTCCGCCGGCGGGGCCCGAAAGGGGGCAGGGCCGCGCGGGGCCGCGGCGGCGCCGGAGTCTGCGGGGCCGGAGCGCACCTCCTGGCGGGCGTCAGGGAGGCGCGGGCCGAGCCAGGTGCGCGCGGACTCACCGGGGTGCGCACGGCGATGCGAGGACCCGTACAGCCACGCGCGTTCAGACCTAGGAGCGCCTGCCAGGTACGCGCCGACTGACCCCCGTACAGTCCCGGTCGCGCTGAGTGAATCAGGCACACAGAGGTCGGTCCACGCACCGTTAGAGGTAGGTCCTTAGTTGCAGAGACAGGCACCTTTCCGACGGAGCCAGGAACACTCAACAGGTGCACCGTGCCTGGAACAGGTACACAGAGGTGAGGTGGGGCCGTGGGGAGGACACTCAGCAGGATAGAAAAGTCCAGTCGGGAAGTACGCAGTGAGCGAGGCGAAAAACCAGGCAGAGAGGCACGTTTACACCAGTCACCACGAGTGTTGGCACTGCATTCTCTTGCTCAGCTCACAGATGCACCCACCCCCGCGTGAGGATGCTTTTAGGTCCCAGGTCAGCCATGGGCTCTCACTGGAGCACAGCACTTGGCACTGTTTACCCCCGGGTGTAGGTGCTAGGCCCATTTTAACCCCAGAGAAACTCAGAAAAGGCTCAATTGCCCCATCTGGAAAGGACTGGAATGGGGACCAGGAGCTTCCATTCCAGGGCACCAGAAGCCACCTTTGCCGCTTTTGAAACCATTAGTGACCTAGGGCAGAGGGGAGACTTTTTGGTGACAGGATGGGGCCTGACATCTGCCCTCAAGTGTGTGTGTGTGTGTGTGTGTTTAAAAGGGGAACACAAAACCCACAAGCTAGAGGACAAAGCCTCAGCAGTGTCACCAGCTCACGTTGAAGATGGGGGAAACTGAGGCTCGGGGAGCCAAAGCCCTCAGAACTGAGAGCTGACTGTGTACCAATACTGCACTTACATTTTCTCTGCCTTATCATAGGCATGCATCCTATAAGATGGGTATCAGTGTAGTAGCCAAAAAGTCTCACTGCTATACAGGTACAGCTTCATGGATAATAGTAATAACAAAATATCCATGTGTCCACTAGCTAATTTATTTATTTATTTATTTATTTATTTATTTTTATTTTTTATTTTTTTTTAAAGATTTTTATTTATTTATTTATTTGACAGAGAGAGAGACAGCGAGAGAGGGAACACAAGCAGGGGGAGTGGGAGAGGGAGAAGCAGGCTCCCCGCAGAGCGGGGAGCCCGACGTGGGACTCGATCCCAGGACCCTGGGATCATGACCTGAGCTGAAGGCGGTCGCTTAACCAACTGAGCCACCCAGGCGCCCTCCACTAGCTAATTTAAAAACTAGACCCATACCAGTACCTTTGAGACCCTCCACATGCCTTCCCTGTAGCCTCCTCCCCCATCCTGAAAGACCACTTGCCTGAATTTTGTTTTAATTGTGCGGATCATTTCCTTGATTTTCTCTTAGTTTTACCACCTTGGTATACATCCCTAAATAATATATCGTTTAGTTTCATTTTGCTTTTTTTGTGTGCAAGTGGAATCATTCTATAGTTATGTGACTCCTTTTTTTCACACAGCATTTTTTTTTTTTTAAGATTTTATTTTTAGGGCGCCTGGGTGGCTCAGTTGTTTGGGCGACTGCCTTCGGCTCAGGTCATGATCCTGGAGTCCCTAGATCAAGTCCCGCATCGGGCTCCCTGCTCAGCGGGGAGTCTGCTTCTCCCTCTGACCCTCCCCCCTCTCATGTGCTCTCTCTCATTCTCTCTCTCTCTCAAATAAATAAATAAAATCTTTAAAAAAAAAAAGATTTTATTTTTAAATAATCTCTACACCCAACATGGGGCTCAAACCCACCACCCCGAGATCAAGAGTCTCACATTCCACCGACTGCGCCAGCCAGGCGCCCCCAACACAGCATTGTTTTTTTTTTTTTTTAAAGATTTTATTTATTTATTTGAGAGAGAGAGAATGAGAGACAGAGAGCATGACAGGGAGGAGGGCAGAGGGAGAAGCAGACCCCCCGCTGAGCAGGGAGCCCGATGCGGGACTCGATCCCGGGACTCCAGGATCATGACCTGAGCCGAAGGCAGTCGCTTAACCAACTGAGCCACCCAGGTGCCCCACAGCATTGTTTTTTAAAATACATTTCTATTGCCGGTGTACCTATAACTTATTTTACGATTGAATAATATTCCATTTTAGGAATATACCACTAGTTATTTATACATTCTGTTATCGGGTGTTATTTCTGGGATTTGTTATTTATTTACTTATGTAGCTATAACCAGGAGCACGCTTTGGAAATTCTCGTACATATCTTAATGCGCTTGTAGAGTTGAAGCAACAAAAACTTCAGAAAGGTGAAGTCACTTGCCCAGGGGCGCAGAGCTAGTGGAGCTGGGATTCACAGAGCTCTCTCTGAGGTATCCATCTCCAATACCTGCCACAGAAGAGGCCACAGAAGACCCAGGGAGGAGGGAGCGTGCATTTCTAGCCAGGCCTTGAAGCTGTTCCTCTGGACTTGCCTGCCCCTGTCTACCCAAGTCCCTGCTTCGTTGCCTCTCAACTTTAAAGACCCCAAAATGTTCCCTCCTATGCCCACCCGGCATAGCAACCCCAGGGGCGGGCCAAGGAGAGAGGGAGAACAAGGCCCCTTTCCATGGGGGGCCCAGGGCTGGTCTTAGTTACTCTGGCTGAGCGCTGTGGATGCTGTACCCCTGGTCTTCAGCACAACCCTTTCATAGTGAGGAAAAGCTCAGCAACATTAGGCATTTATTCATATTCATTGTAGGAACTACCTTTCAAAAAAAAAAAAAGAATTTATTTGACAGAGAGAGACACAGCGAGGGAGGGAACACAAGCAGGGGGAGTGGGAGAGGGAGAAGCAGGCTTCCCGCTGAGCAGGGAGCCCGATGCGGGGCTCGATGCGGGGCTCGATGCGGGGCTCGATCCCAGGACCCCAGGATCACGACCTGAGCCGAAGGCAGATGCTTAACGACTGAGCCACCCAGGCGCCCCAGGAACTACCTTTAAGGTAGGACAAATATGAAGAAAGAAGCCCAGGTTAATCATTGTATGATGATAAGTCCACCACAGCGATAATGCCTCGCGTTTACGGACTGCTCACTAGGCTGCCGGCACCGGGCCAGCGCTTTGCATCTGCTTCTTCCTCGGCTGGGAGTGCCCTCCCCTCCTTCCCTCGGACTGCTGCCTGGCCAATTCCATTCATCTTTTTGATGATGTCACCTCCTCTGGGAGGCCCGCCCAGACTCTTCAAATGCGACTTTGCTTCCTCCCCAGTGCTCCCATGGCACACGGCCTGTGTCCCTACGTGCTGGATTGTGATTGCCTGCCTGGGACCTCCTCTGGGAGGTCCAGCTCTGTGCCAGTTGGAGCCCGCAGGACCGGGTGATGAGTCACGCAGCTCTGTCCCCTCCCCAAGTGAGCCGAAGTCTCACTCTCTTCCGGCTCATGAAGGCGGCTCTTTCCTGAGAAGCTGACTCTTCTGCAGAATCCAGGGCTGCTCAGGGGAACCCCTGCTTCACTTACAGCTGGATTTTGCAAGCCTTGGCCCTAATTCCCAGGAGCACTCTGGGTGTAATGGTGCCCAGCCCATGCTTATCTGTCTTGGAGGGTGGGCTTGCCAGCTTCCTTCCTGGAGCTTGCCTGCTTTCTTGCCACCTGCCTGCACCTCCTGTGAGGTCTGCAGAGGTCTGCAGAGGTCCAGGACTGGTCACCCCCTTGGCAGGGGATGGGGGACCTGGAGAGAGAAAGGTTCCGGGAATTACCTTGGCCTTTGATGGCTCCACTGGGCCACTCAGACTGGGGAGGACACAGAAGCTAGGTCACCTCTATAGGAAGGGTGGGCAGGCTGCCCCCAAGCCTTAGCAGAGTGGCCACAGAGGTTAAATTCATCAAGGACTTCTAGAAGTGGAGAAAAGATCAGGTCCCTCCCATGTTTTGATATTCCTAGTATATATTTTTTAAGTTATTTAAAAAATTTTTTTTAATTTAAGTAATCTCTACATGGGGCTTGAACTCACAACCCTGAGATCAAGAGTCAGATGCTCCTCTGACTGAGCCAGCCAGATACCCCATCTCCTAGTATCTTTTAAAAAGACATCACAGTAGAGCTACAAAAAAATTGAGGTAGGTTTTAAACAGTCATTGAACAAAATAACTTTTTTCGTCATGTATTCAAATGCAGTGGACTACTGACAAGATAATAATTGGAGGATTGGTTTTAAAAATATATTATTTCCTTGGAGTAATGACTGATTGTACCACTGGGGCAAGGAAAAGGTGAGCCCGGAGCATCTGGTGGCACCAGAGTTGGAAAGTGCTCAAAACACAAAAGGATGGGTGTGTCAAAGGGACCCAGGAGCTAAATCACTCCAGTGGCCAAGTGGCAACAATTAGAGCAATAAAAGAAATAACAGAGTATTTGGGATGCCTGGGTGGCTCAGTCTTTTGGCCATCTGCCTTCGGCTCAGGTCATGATCCCGGGGTCCTGGGATCGAGCCCCGCATCAGGCTCCCTGCTCAGTGGGAAGCCTGCTTCTCCCTCTCCCTCTGTTGCGGCTCTTTGTCTCTCTCTCTGTTAAATAAATAAATAAAATCTTAAAAAAAAAAAAAAAAGGAAAGAACAGAGTATTAGATTATAACCCAAAGTATAAAATATATATCCATGAGTCCACACTGGTAGAAATAAATTATTGCATAGTAGCTAACCAGGAAAGAAGAAATAAATCTCCTTTACTGAAGAATTCCAAATAATCTTCGTAGATTCTCCCTTCCAGGAAATGGAGCTTCATTATCCCCTTCCCTTCCCTTGACCTCGAACTAGACTTCTGATTTGCTTCTAAACAATAGAGCAGTAACCTTGCGGTGGAGAATCCTGGCTGACACCACCTTGACCAAGTGCTCAAGGTTAATATCACCAGGAGTGAGCGGAGTGGATATTGTGCACTCCCAATACATGTGATTTTCTTCCCCCAAGCCCATGATCCCGGAGAACGCCTCAGATGAACGCCAACTGAAGGACATTTTACAAAACACCTGACTGGGATTCCTCAAAACAGAAAGGGTTCTAAAAAGCATGGAGGGGCGCTTGGCTGGCTCAGTCAGTTAAGCATTCGACTCTTGATTTTGGCTCAGGTCATGATCTCAGGGTCGTGAGATCGAGCCCTGCGTCGGGCTCTGCACTCAATGTGAAGTCTGCTCGGGATGCTCTTCCTCTCCCTCTGC